CAACATGTTTATCATTAAGAGATACCGGCTTTCATTTCAAAAAGAGTGGAAAAACCCCCAGCTTCCTAGATCGGAAGTCTTAAGAATATAATCTTGTTTGTATAGGTAATAGCATTATTTGTAGTGATATTTGGCATAAATGCCACGAGTGATATTTCGAAATTGTTATACGTAATTTCACGAGCCGTTAGGCGAGTGAAATTTGAGACAATTTTGAAATATCACGAGTTGTATTTATGCCAAATATCACGTACAAATCATGTTTAATTGTTTATACTACTACCCGCAGAAGGTTCGTAATTTTCACACGTAGGTATTTTAAATTAAGCTGAAATACCACTGCTCCAAGCCAATCAAATTGCAGAAATTTCTCATGTAGTAGTATAAGGCAGAAAACACTCCTCTAGCAGGAGCCTCAAGGAAAATACTGAGAGCCTGAATATGATTCTTTTTTTTCTTTCACAATTGTCTGTCCTTTATTCACAGTTAAAGACGAGACGTTAATGCAGTCATGCTTTATACAATGTAAGCCTGAATCAAATTAATGACATACGTGCTTGGGGGTAAGCCAAAACTTGAATCACGGATGTAAGAAGCGCGAGTTAAAAGGAAGTTACGAAATATAATTACGAAAATGTGGCACAGGGCTCACCCCGATTTGACGTAACCAGACGGGAACTGGCTTCTAATTGGCTGTAGCTGACACACCACACGCTCTATCATCTCTTTAAATATGTTTTTACTTGGAACAAAGATAACATGAAGAAAAACTCCACCAGTGCATGATCGTTGACTATTTTGTTTTAACAATGACGATGCGGGAGTATTGCGACGATTGGCGAGGTTTAGTTTGGAGCGCTTTTTTTCATGCTGTATTTCTACTTATTATTCCAGGTATGTCCAAAGCTAGGTTATTCATTTTATAATTGTGGAATTAATTTGCTACGAGAAGTGACACTTTTACTCTTGCGAGCCCTAGTCCCGTTGTCCGGCATTAAGGCTACATGCTTTTTTTTTTTTTTTTTTTTTTTTTTTTCATGCTTTATTTCTACCGTTTATTCCAGGTGTGTCCAAAGCTGTTATTCAGTTTAAATTAATTTGCCACAGGCAGTCTAACTTTTACTCTTGCGAGCCCTAGTCCCGTTGTCCGGCATTAAGGCTACATGCTTTTTTGTTTTTTTCATGCTTTATTTCTACTGATTATTCCAGGTGTGTCCAAAGCTGTTATTCAGTTTAAATTAATTTGCCATGGGCAGTGTAACTTTTACTCTTACGAGCCCTAGTCACGTTGTCCGGCATTAAGGCTACATGTTTTTGTTTTTGTTTGTTTTTTTTTTTTCATGCTTTATTGCTACTGATTATTCCAGGTATGTCCAAAGCTGTATTATTCAGTTTAAATTATCAAATTAATTTGCCACAGGCAGTTTAACTTTTACTCTTGCTAGCCTTAGTCCCGTAGTCCGGCATTGAGGCTACATGCTTGTTTTTTTTTTTTTTCAATCTAACACCTGCTATGAATCCCTAACAAAATTATAGCTCCACTAAAGCAAGTGGACGAAGGGGGGAGGGTGGTGGGGAAGGGGCGTGGCAGGAGGAGTGGCACTAACATGTCCCGCACCATACGATTTTTTTCAATGTACTATATATCTAGTCGGATTTTAGAAAACTTACCTTTCGAAATTACAGCCATTTGATTGAAAAAAGGAAAAAAGACAAAATATTTGCTATTGAGTTTATTCTTATTTAAATCATTTATTTCAAAGATCCCTGACATAAACAAAAACACTGGAGCGAGCGCTAGTCCGGTATTGATCAAAGTGAAACAAGGCTACATGCTGTGTGTGGTTTATACACATTGAATCTCTCCCGTCCCTAGTTATTTTACTGGCGAAAAGACAAAGTATTCTGTTGTTGTTGTCCTTTTATGTTCTGTACGTGTAGGAGCTCTAAAGTTCCTCCAGGATCCTCCACAACTCCAGGCATCTCACGTCGGCTGGAGCGTTGACTACAATTGCACAACAGATGACCCATATGCCACAGTGTCACTTCTACATTCTAGAGATTTTGGGCTTTCTTATAATGTGTTACAGGTCTCACCAAGCAAACTTCTTTTGAGGAAACAAGTGTTCACCATAGTAAACCTTATTCTTCGGATGGAGGAAACTATAAATGCAAGGCAACGGACCAGTCAGGTCAAACTATTGAATGGAACAGTGGTTCAATGTTATATATACAAGCAGGTCTGTAAGAATATTATGAGTAAACTGGCACTCGTGAATAGCAAAAAGTACTTGTACAAAAGAGGAAAGAAGCTTGACATCACAAAAATTCAAATTTGAGAAATTATGGGTTTGGTCGGCATATTCAGAAAGAAGAAAGTGACAAAAAGTCCCCTTGCGAATAATGATGAGCCTGTTAGTTCAAATTGGTGGGGATGATGGTGGGAGATAGCGGGGGCCAGTGTCCTCCCTTTAATAGCCCATACGGTCCCGAGACTCCGCCCGAAAGGGGTTCCTTACCGTCGTCACCTATACGAATGTCATTTCTTTCTTTCGGAATTTCATAAATCGCAGATTTGTTTGTTTGCTTTGCTTTTCAAGCCTCCTTTTATACACAGATCAAATTTTCTATCACGATTACCTCGATTTATACGGGTTTCAAGTAAAAGTAATGGAATACATTGAAAATGGCGGATTGTTCCTGTCGCTTATCTACGTAATAAGTGATCTCGTCACGACATCACTCAGTACTATTTTCCAGAATCTTCAGTTTGTTAGCTAACTTCTCAATATTATCAGACACCTTAATTTTATAAGTATTTTTCGTTTTATGGCCAATTTGAGGGGCATTTGGATTTTGCCAATAAATTGAACCATATGACGTCATAATAACATCAAATTACGTCATTGTGTCAATCAAATTATGCCTAGATGATGGAAATGATGAGTGCATTATTCTGTGGAGTTTTTGTGGCTGCATCATGAGTGGTTTTGAAGGTACTAAGGAGGGTGGGGACATCGAAGCTCCCCCTCAGTCGCAGGAACCCCAAAATTGACATTATCTGCGAAGGACCACAGACGAATACAGTGCCGTAGAACGTAGCATTTAGAGAAGACCTGATCAGCAAAAATATCAGTGCCAAGTGGACACTTGGAACCACTTGGAATAGGGTTAAATAACTTCAGTCAGATCTGATTTGGGTAGCCCGTTTACATTTTTAGACTTCTTGTGATATAAAACACTGGAGTACAGTGTAATCCTTATGAAAGTTTTTCAAAGAGTACGTACACTACGTCGTATTGAATACAGCACGTAAAATATGGTATATGTGTTAAATATTTTTTTGCAGCTCAGTTACCTAGGCACTTTGTTTTGAAACCAAACAAACCAATCCATGTGCTTCAAGGGCAGAGTAGAGAAGTCACATGTGAAGCTGAAGGCCCTTCAGTTTCTACCCTGAAGTGGGAAAAGCAACAGGATGATAAATCATATGCAGCCGTCCCCAAGAGCCAAGTTAACATCACTAAAGATGCAAAGTATGTGAGAGCAACCCTGAAGATTACAAATGCGCAGTTCGCGGACACTGGTACATACAAATGCACAGTATCAGTTCCACCAAATAAATCAGATTATAAGCTGACAGCTATAAAGGTCAAAGGTAGGTTTGTTTGTTTGTTTTTGTTTTGTATACATTTTAGTAAAAGTTCACTGTTCAGTCAGAAAAAAGGCCTTATGTTCATTTATCCTTGCAACACCAACCTAACGTCGATAATTATCAAAATGCCCTGGTGTAGAATTTTGTGGTGCAGATCCCGGCCGGGGGCCAGAGGGATGGAAGGACTCAAAATTGACCAGTAAAAGACTGTTTCTCGGTCGTCTCTCTTGTGACGGATCAAAATGTTAAAAACAACGCAATAACTTGAACTTACAAGCCTAACAAGGAAAAGCATTAAAGTGAAAAAGGTTGTTTGTCCTCTTGAAAAGCACTGGTGTGAACATGTTCTTTCGTTTTGGAAAAACGGTCATCATTGTCCGTTGACGTGCAGTTATTTTGGGCACAGTGGATGGTTTGTATAGGAAGACAAAGACCGTTTTTAGTTTTTCTCATCCAAAAACTGCTTTGAATCCTTAACCAATTTTCGCTCCACAAAGTCGAAAAACTTCACTAAAGGAAGGTGGACGAGGCTAGGAGGGGGCGGAGGAGTGGCGTGGCAGGAGGAGTGGCACTAACGTGTCCCGCACCATACGATTTTTTTAATATACTATATATCTAGCCTGATTTTTGAAAACTTACCTTCCGAAATTTACAGCCATTTGATCAAAAAAAGGGCAAAAGGCAAATTATTTTTATTCACTCTGTTTTATTTTCAGGAACCCATGACTAGTTGCCTATTTCCCCCGTACAAGCCCTTGGAGTCAACCTTTTCCCGAGTAGATTTGTAATTACGTAATTAGAACGGTTCGCAGAGGAGTCTTCTCAAGTTGTCCGAGTGAAAAGATGAATCAGAACGACGAAGTGACATTGCTATTGTTCTTTATCAAACAACAGAAATACAGTGCTGACAGGCCAATTATAAGCTAGTGAAACATGAACTAAGCGACCCCTCAGAGAGTTTTTATCGTTTCTTTCTAGCGGGTAGATCGTACTGTGAAAAAAGTTTAAACTTTGACTGTTTAAATCTTAATTTTGGCTGCTTGTCACACAGTAAGAGCTATGAAGGTGATCTGTTCCATGCATATAGACTAATTATTTCCTGCAGTTTATTCACAGAGGGCCCACACACAGCACACAATCTGCTCGTGTAACCGATGTGATTTTATGGTAAATCGGGGGCACCCAACGACTGTTTTCTGTAAAATATCTTTCCACAGAAGTAAATAATGCCTAGAATTTTCTATTAGTACTTGAGGACAGCTAAAAATTTCTAGACGTGTACAATTTTCGAAGCTTATCTAGTAATAAATTGCCTACGATTTTCTGAAGTCTAATTTTTTACATTTTACAGCCCACATTAGGCTATCTTTCGCACATAAAAGGAAACCAGGAGCCGTAAGTATCTGCTCCTGAGGAAACCTAAAATTTTCGGATTCAAGACTGAAAAAAAAACCCTCTTTCGTAATACGTTAAAATAATACTGAAGCGCTTCTAATTTCGAGAAGACTCAAGTTCCCTTAGCATGGCCGAACAGGTGCAAGTTTCATAGCGCCGCTTAGAGAGCATTCCTAGAGAACTCCGGAGAACCAAAAACGTATTTTCAACGAACCGTCGTTGGGGGCCCCTGGGAAATGTACTGTATTTACCGTTTGCTTCATCTGTAGCGGTACATCGCTAAAAAGGGGCATGTATCAAAGGTAAATAAACGTTGTGTTACCTTACCTTCGGTAAATTGTCTTTCCTTTGCCTCAGAAGTGGTATTTTGATCGATTTTGAAGGATTTTGAGTTCGCTGTTTACTTTTCCTCTTAATACCTCTTTTTGTTTGAATATCGTTAACCAAATGGTTAAACTATAACTGATTTAAAGCAGACTTGGTAAATCGATTATTGCTTAACGATATCCAAGCAAAGAGGTAATCAGCGGGACAGTTTGTGGCTGGCACGCGTACTAAAATAAAATCTTCCGCGCATTTTGACCGATTAAAAACTGTCGGATTTTAATTTTCTTGGAGGGCTAGCAACGGGCCTTTTGGATGGATTTTCGATCGGAAGGTACTAGTAGAAGCATGAAGCAATCGAGCTTTCTGCTGGGTGGTTTGAAAGTGGAGCGATGCGATTTGCTGGGGAAAATCGGTCCGGCGCTGGCGCCGTTCAAAAATTGATTTCACCCTTGTCCTTCTATTAAGAGGAACAGTAAACAGCGAACTGAAAACAGGGGCACCGAACGACTGTTTTCTGTAAAATATCTTCTCGGAGAAGTAAATATTGCCTAGAATTTTATTTTGCTTGAGTACAGCTAAAATTTTCATATTTTTTCGCGTGTAACCCTAAACGAGACCTTCACGGCTAAATAAGATGGCGTTTTGCCCAGAACACCCTAAGTGAGACCAAGATCCGAAATTTACACCCCTAAGCGAGACGATGAGTAGTCCGCACCCCAATAAGTTTAATAAGCAAAACAACAACTTCGCACGTGCATCACACTTTTTTGTACATTTCTTTCCCGCTTTAGCACCACTACGACGTGAAAATGCCTAATTTCGCGTTTTATAGAGGACGTAAACAAGCAACGACGAAATTTTATTTCTCTTTCCGAGCTTGAATATGTTCCCTTGAAATTCAGCTTCAGGAGGGTTCGCCTACATTTGACAAAGTAAGTGGTTAGGAATAATCGCTAAAAAAACTGAAAGGACGCAAATTCACTTTTTAAGCGACGTTCTTGTCGCCGTCGCGTCTTTGGATCTTGAAGTCCCTAATATATAGCTAGAGTCCGTAATAGCGGGAGTTTTGTTCCAGTCAAATGTCTGTAATTTTCGCCCGGGATTCAGTAGCTGTCCGTATTAGCGGGTTGTCCGTAATAGCGAGGTGTCCGCATGGCTTGAAGCTCCTCCATACGATACTCAAACCCCGATACGAACGACCAAAAATTCCTTAATTTTCTCTGACCTGTTTGATGAAGGGGTGGCGGTCGAAAGTCTGCTTTATTTCAGAAACAGTAGGTTTCCTTCAATAGAGTCTAATTTCAACTCTACTTTTGATTACCGTGAAGACTTATCCCGGCAGCGCCACCCCGTTTTATACAGGGAGGCTCCGCCCCGATATCCGGCAACACCTTTCCTTTTATATTCCAATTTTTTGCAGAAACCTTTTCCCTTTCATATACTTCAACTCAAGAAATCCGGTACCCTTTTATATACCCAAAGCCTGAAAAGGATGACACTTTCGGGTGGAGCTGGTCTGTTACATAGCTCCAAGATAGAGAGGAAAGCGGATCGAGAAAAAGTTGCGCGAAAAACGCGTTGGGGCTGGGGAGATACAAAGTAGTGGAGCCTGTAAACGGCTTTTTAGGAAAGTGGCGGGGTAGTAAGCGGATTCAGAGAAACTGCAATGGGCCAGTTCATTTTCAAAACGAGGCTAAGTGAAAAAACTTTGTTTTAAAAATGAATTTTATTTGCATGATATTTTCCCATTCCTCGTTCCCCATTCCTCCTTTTAGTAACACTCAGGCCTTGTGCGCTGTGGTGGCAAAGAAATATTTCATACAATACAGTGCACGGACAGAGTTGTTATTGTCTGCTCAACAAGCCTATCACCCTCTGATTAGACGTTTCATTGACGATCGAGGTCATCTTCGTTATCGTCTCTAGCCTAACGTCCTAAGGGAACCCATTAACCAGGTTATGTCACCGCCGTTTTCATGGATCAATGTATTTTTGATCACATATAAAGTACTTTTTTCTGGTGAAAAAGAAACCTCCGCTCGGTATGTGTGCGCATCCGAATGATTTATTTAATAAGTAAAACATCAAAACCTGCCATTTTAAGGTGAGTGTACCTCTTGCTGTCGATGTCAGTCTACTTTGCGGATTGATAGTCTAGCTAGATTCGCGTTAAAAAACTGTTGTGTGAAAACATCGTGACACAAATACATTGTGGAGGGTCCGAATGGGGTTAACCGATAGGCGTAAAACGGCCAAAAATTTAGTCGATAGCCGTAAAAATTGAAAAATTTTAACCGTTATCCGTAAATAGGGTAAAAAAGAGTTAACCGTAAACTTGTTTCCTAGGTTTGTTAATTTTAAGGAAGGTGCTGAACTCACTTATGGCTAACCGGCTACTTTGACTCCGTACGCACGTTAGGCCAAGAGACTTTTAGTTGTGACATAGGTCTAAACTCTATTTCCACCGCTCCCTCGGAGAACTAATTTTTTACATAGCGAAAATCTGGCTTCTTGCTGGAGATTAAAATTTGCAATTTTCAGGAGGTCGTTCCCTCGAAATACTAGTGAGACAACCGCCTAGAGATGTCACTGTTTGTAAAACACGTTGCCGATAAACAACAATTTCCTGTTTTTCTCTGACACTAAGGTAGACCTTGCCAACATTGCCATGCCTAGTCCCTGTTCGGTGACTTCCCACGCAATCTCGTTGAAGGCATTTCGGTGGAGTATCTGAGAAAAAATCTCGCTCGGACCACTTGACCCGAAACGCATTAGCCGCGCGGAATAATGAGGCCTATGGAGAAGGCAACGGCAGATAGTCTTTCTGTACAGTCCTTCGCTATCATTAAAAACACTGGACACGGGAATTTTGTTATTGGCCATTTTCAAACTAGAAATGGATTATCCGTCTGAGAATGGCCTGTGCACAGTCGCCCCCTCCCCCACAGACACCCCTTCTCCGATTTTTTTCTGAGGGGAGGGGGCGGCTGTACACAGGCTATCTGAAACGGATAACCCATCTTCAAACTGTCCGTCAAAATTGACGGATAAAGTCACGTGGATTGTTCATTCAAAATTAAAACCCTTTCCATTTCAAATTAAGACGTATTACCTATCTGACGCGATTTATCAAACGGATCACCCATCTCATACGAATAATCCGTCGCTAGTGTGAAAACAGCCATTTCCGTTATAATAAATCCCCTCCGCCCCCTTCCCATGCCTTTAGTTGGGCGTTCGTGTGTCTTCTTTTGCTTTTTCACAAAGATTATTTTTAAATTGACTATTGACATTTCTATGCGTAAAATAATATGAAAAATGGAATACTTTATAAATAGTATGATCTATCAAATGTTAAAATTTTTCAAAAGAATAACTTCATTTTATCCCGAGATGATCCTAAGACACATCAAATTGTACCACGTGATTATGTTTGCCCTTTACTTGTCGCTAGTCATTATTTCTACACTGGAATAAGTTTTATGATGCTATGTTCATCCATCAGATTTATTTTGGAAAATTTATTTCGTAATCTGAGAAGTTGTCAACTTGAATCTCAGGTTTGCCGTTTGCCCTAAACGTGACCCTAAATTTCTCTAATAATTCCTCTAATATTGATCTAACAAATATTAGAATTAACCGAATTATTAATTATTATAGTTATTTCCTCTGATAATTATTGAATCGTAAGGTCAAAGCGTTGTTGCAAAAAACTAACCGGCGCCTGCCACGAAGGCTATAGGCGCAGCGTCATTAACATGCATACAAGCAATACAATTTTGACCAGAATACAAAGACACCTTGGAAAACACTGTTTGTTTTTGTACCCTGTGTGGCCCAGTCTGACAAGCATGTTGATGAGTGCCCTTCTAAAGACAGCGGCAGGAGTAGATATGAAAAATGACATTGGCACAAAGTAAGAAAGATGAGACAATCACAACGTGTAGCTGGTGAAAAATATATATTAGTGGGACATAAATAGCCTGCTGAAAACATCCGTTTCTCCACGCTCTTGGCCGCTGGGCACGTTTGGCGCGGAGGAACGTCTGCGACTCAGCGACAGAAATTCCATACTGACGACGTAAAATATGTTCAGAATCCGGTCAGAAGCCCTGATTGGTCGACGGAGTAGTTACATTTTTTTAGCTATTATTTACGAATGACAGACAAAAGACAAGAGGCCACAAAGGTCAAATGTAAACGCGATGAATCTCTAACAAAACAGTCAATATTTGTGGAATATAGTCTTCTCTAGAACAAGCATTTGAGTTTTACTGGAGCTTGTTCGCAGATGAACACAACACTTTACCCAAATCGACCAGGAGACACCTAAAATTGAATAAATTTACATTTGGAACCCCATGATTACCAGATTTATTGAGTAAACATTGATTTGCGTCATCAGTATGGAATTTCTGTCGCTGTGTCGCAGACACGCGAATCGTGCCTAGCGGCGAAGAGCGTGGAGAAACGGATGTTTTCGAAGGCTAGACATAAAGGGCAGGATTGTATCATGAACCTCCCCGGCACGCAGACGTTTTAGGTCCTGCCAGGAACGCGTGACGAACACCTAAGAACGTCTGCGTGTGAGAGGCTAGATTGTATGCTACGTTTTCGGTTAATAAAAATTTACCTTGTTTGTTACTTTAGGGATGCCATGAGTATAATAGTCAAATTTTTTTTTTGTTCCGTATCGTTTTTGTTTTTAGCTTTGTTAGGTCATTTTCAATATGTTTATTATTAAATTAAGGGATATCGCCTTTCATGCCAAAAAGAGCGAAAAAACCAACTTCCTAGATGGGAAGTCTTAAGATTATAATCTTGTTTAGCAGAAAACAATCGTCTGGAAGGCGAGCGTCAAAGGAAACACTGAGAGCCTGAATATGATTCTTTTTTTTCTATTTTTGTACAATTACCGTGTCCTTTATTGTCAGTTGACATCATACGCTAATGCAATGAATCATTTTCGAGATGACTTATGCAATGTAAGCTTGAATCAAACTAATGAGATGCGTCCTTGGGGGTAAGCTAAAACTTGAATCACGGGGTATGAGAAGTTTATCTGCGTAAGTTAAACAGAAGTTACGAAATATAATAACGAAAATGTGGCGCAGGGCTCACCCGGGTTTGACCTACGCAGCTTTAAAGACGGGAACTGGCTTCTAATTGGCTGCAGTTGACACACCTAGGCTCTATCGTCTCTTTAAATATGTTCTATTTGGAACAAGAATAACATAAAGAAAAGCACTCGAGTGCATGATCGTTGACTATTTTGTTCAAACAATGGCGATGCGGGAGCATTGCGACATTTGGCGAGGCTTAGTTTGGAGCGCCTTTTTTCATGCTTCATTTTTATTGATTACTCCAGGTATGTCCAACGCTCAGTAACTGAAATGACTTACTTTGCCAAAGGCAGTGTAACTTTTACCCTTGCGAGCGCTAGTCCCGCATTGCTCAAAGCGAAACAAGGATGCAGTGTGTGGTCTATGTATCGATTCTTCTAAAAGTATTCTGTTGTTTTTGTTTCTGTTGTTGCTTTATTTTCTGTAGGTGTAGGAGCTCTGAAGTTTCTCCAGGATCCTCCACAACTCCAGGCATCTCATGTCGGCTGGAGCGTTGACTACAATTGCACAACAGATGACCCAAATGCCACAGTGTCACTTCTACAGTCTAGAGATTTTGGGTTTTCTTATAATGTGATTTCAGTCACACCAAACAAACTTCTTTTGAGGAAACAAGTGTTTACCATAGTAAATCTTATTCTTTCGGATGGAGCATACTATAAATGCAAGGCCACGGACCAGTCAGGTCAAACTATTGAATGGAACAGTGGTTCAATGTTATATATACAGGCAGGTCTGTAAGAATATTTTGAGTAAATTGTACTTGTATAAAACAATAGAGTAAAAAAGTTTGGTTTGATGTCACTAAAAATTCAAATTTGTGAAATTAAGGGATTCAGGTTGGCCACTCAGAAGGAAAACGATGAAAAAAGCCCTTCTCGGATAATTAGCCTGTTAGTTCAATTCATGAGGATGAAATAGTATACAACTATCCCGCGAAGGTGAATTAAGTGGTGGATATATACGTACCGAGAAGCAAATTCGCGAAGAGTCAAGATATTTGAATCTAGCGCTGCTCACCGACCCTGAGGGGAATAGTAGTTTTAGTATTACCAAAACAGTTGGATAAAACTGAAAAAAAAGTAACTTTTTGTAAATTACAGACGTCAACTTAGTAGGAACTTTGATTACAATTTACGAACATTTCGGAGATTTTGCCGAGCGCATTTGACGATTTTGTTGCAAATTCAGTATGAAAATCATTTTCTACCTACCAGTGAACACCGACAAGCCAAAGTTCGTAGCTCTCTTGGTATTTGTTTGTACGAATGCTTCATTTATCGCACAAATACGTCTCCGGAATAGCCAAGAATATTCCGAGTTACGGGGACCTATCGAAACGCGCGAAAATTGCTATTTACTGAATACGATTTGGTAAATTCTAAAGGACCTCGCGAAGGACTTCGGGGGAACGGCAAGATAAGGCAACAGAGAAGAAAATTTATAAATCTAAACATTTTAAGCACGCTGGCCCATATCGTTACGATCAGGCCACTTGGGACACACTGATGATCTTGTAAAAAAATATATTATTAAAACCCTTTCCCCTAGCACTTCCGCCAGCGCGACCTGTATAAAGTTGATCGAGCCCTATTAAACACGAATTCAAAGGTATTTTGCGGAAGAATGAACCCAACGTAAACGCATTTCATGGCATTTGAAGAACGAAAGCCCGACTAAGCCGATACGGTATAAACTCGTCTGCGAGCAAAACGTGTTTTGTTACCGCGGTGTTCAGGAAAGCCAGGGAAAAGCGCGCGACGAGATTAGAAAGTCGCTACGCTCGGAATAACTTCAAGATCAGATTTCAGTTTTCCTGTTATCATTATTATTTTTTTCATACTTTTACACTGGAATTATATAAGTTATGAACATTTTGCAGAGCTGGCTACAGTACGTATTGAAGACACCATGTAAAGTACTGCACATATTTTTTTGCAGCTCAGTTACCCAGGCATTTTGTGTTGATACCAAACAAATCAATCTATGTGCTGCAAGGGCAGAGTGGAGAAGTCACATGTGAAGCTGAAGGCCCTTCAGTTTCTACGCTAAAGTGGGAAAAGCAACAGGATGATAAATCATATGCAGCCGTCCCCAACAGCCAAGTTAACATCACTAAAGATGCAAACTATGTGAGAGCAACCCTGAAGATTACAAATGCGCAGTTCGCGGACACTGGTACATACAAATGCACAGTATCAGTTCCACCAAATCTATCAGATTATAAGCGTACAAACATTACTGTCAAGGGTATGTTTGCATGTTTATTTGTTTACATTTTACCCGCACCATACGATTTTTAATTTTCAATATACTATATATTTAGCCGGAGTTTTAAAAACTTACCTTCAGAATTTTACTTTTGAGCCATTTGATTGAAAAAAGGACCCAAAGGCGAGTTATTTTTTATTCACTTTATTGTACTTTATTACTGATTTATTACCTCTCTGTCTGCGCAGATGCCTGTTTGTGTTGTATTGAGTCTAATTAAGGAGAAAGAAAACGAAAGCGCGTGGTACGATGGGAAGGCGAAAGAGAGAGGCCTTTCCCTCTTCCCATCATCCCCCTCGCCCTCTCTATTTTTCCATTATTGCTTAGTATTTTCAATGGGATACCCAGAGAGAGCCTCTGCAGAGGAGAGAGATTCATTACTTTTTTGGTGTCCGACGAACCCGAAAAAACGCTAACAAAGGAGAAGGAAAGGGGCAACCGAGAGATCGAGGAGAAAGAGAAATAGAGATTTAAAAAAATGAGGTTGCGCTCTAAACTTTTATATTAGATTAGGAGCCCATAACCATATGGGTTCCTGGTTACATACTTTGGAGATATTTTTGACCGAAAAACATGACTGCCTGACGGACGAGGCGCGTTTTGGCGGTAACGGTTTTAAAAATGTACGACTTAAATGTGACCAAAATGTCTCAAGTGCAGGAAATAAATTTAAAGCAACCATCTTACCGTATTTATTCGATTAACCGCCCAGGGCGCTTATCAAATTTTTGGACCTTTAGAGTAGGCGCTTATTTGAGGCCGGACGCTTATTAAATTTTCACCATTCTCAGCAAGTGTAGTATGTTTATTTTGCAACAAAACAATAAATGGTAATAACAAAATGCGAAGATGTAACAAAGCAAGGTTTCTGTAAAATACTCTGAAGAAAACTCCGTCTTCGGGAGGGTCTCTTATTATCTCTTATTTGAGTTGGTGTGGCAGGGAGTGGGGTGGGGGTGGGGGTGGGGGTGGGCGCTTATTTGAGGCTGAGCGTTTATTAACGTTTTCTGCCTTTAGGATGGGCGCTCATTCGAGGTGGGCGCTAATTGGCGACTGGGCGCTTATTCGAATAAATACGGTAGTCGCCTGATGGTATTTAAACCCATGATTTCCCATGCAACGTTCCATCTTTACACCAACAGTGCAGCTCCTCCATACGATACATAAGCCGCAAAAACGACCAAAACATTCCTTGATTTTCTCTGAGCTGTTTGATGAAGGGACTGCGGTCGAAAGTCCGCTTTATATCAGAAACAATAGGTTTAGCGGATCGAGAAAAAGTTGCGCAAAAGACGCGTTAGTGCAGGAGAGATACAAAGTAGTGGAGCCTGTAAGCGGCTTTTCAAGAAAGTGTGGGGTAGTAGACAGATTCAGGTATTTGGCTCTCCCCTTCTCTTTTCCTGCCTTTTTTCGCTTATTCGCTATTTCATTGTTTGCTCGCTACTTTCGCTCGTCCGCACTAACCGAGAGCCCGTATAGGCCATCACAGGGAGAATCCAGTAGGGGTTTTCAATGTGCGAAAAGAAAAAATGGATTTGCACAAATTTCCTCTAAGCAAATATGAAGCAAAAATAAAAAATAAGGAGGATTAAATCTAGAGCAAACACGGTAAATGCAATTTTTGCGTACTTATTTTCACCCCGTGTTAATTGGTATAGAAGTGTAGCATTTACTATATTGAATGTATGTTATGTTCTTATAGTCTGTGATTCTGTTTACAGCTCCTACACCACCAAGGATCACTGCACCCCACGATGCAAAAACCATAGTTGTGCAGGAAGGATCGACAAAGGTCCTCAAATGTGTAGCAAGGGGAGCTCCTAAACCTAACGTTACCTGGTACAAAAACGGCAAGCAACTACACACCAATGATCGAAGTTGCAAGGCCATTCAAGCATATAAGATTTATGATGAAAACGAAGATAATTCACTGTATACGGTTCAAGTTCTTAGAATAAGAAGTATTTTATATCCAAGAGACCAAGGAGAGTTTAAGTGTGTCGCATCGAATGACGTTACAGATGTTCAAACAGTTTTTAATGTTCAAGTTCAAGGTGAGTTTCAGCTTGGGTTTTTCAAATTAAACATTCGTGATTTCTCTAGAAGAAAGACAAAACTTCAGCTTAAGTATAGTAAAAACCCATGACTAAGAAGCTGGTTTTTAAGAACCCGTCAGCCTAAAATTTACCAGTTAAGACGCTCTATACAAGAACCTGTTTAGCCTAAAATTTGGAACAGGTTCTGATCTTCTAAAATGTTTAATGGTGCCTTATTACTCCAACTGTAATTGTAATCAGGGGCGGATCTAGGGGGGTGCAGGGGGTGGGCACCCCCCCTGAGATGACCAGCGGTTTTCTAATACAACTGGTATTCTGCAAAAAAAAACACCATGTGGTTTATTGGTGTTAAAGTAGATCGAGCAAGAGACGAGTGCACCCCCTCCTAAGAAAAATCCTGGATCCGCCTCTGGTAATGCTATACAGGTTTTACCTAGGGAATGAGCTGAATACCACTACTCTAATACTCTAAGCTACTAGATATTTTTCTCTTCAGAAAATAAGAACCTATTCAAGAACCTAAATATTAGCCTAAATTAGTGCTAATTACCATTTATGTAAGAACCTATCAGTGCTAACTTGGGAAAATGCTGGTTCTTAGTCGCGGGTTTTTACTGTATCTAAAAAGTCGAAGGCACCCGGAATTTATTGGACAGGAGCAGTTTTTTAGTGCTTGTTTTTCCCCAGCTTTGATTATTGGACCCACAATTCATTGAGCAAACTGTTCTTGTCCAGGTTCTGTTGGGCGAAAAGTCACTCTTGTTATCACCAGTAGTAGCACATCACTAAGAACCTCCATCTCCTTTAATTTCAGGAGTCGAACCCTTTTCCCAGTAGATTGATATTAAGTAGAACGGCTTGTTTCCAGCGAAAAGTGTCATATTTCCGCGAGTCTACTCATGGGCTCCCGTTATCATAAGTCCAAAAACTCTCACTTTCAAAACGAGGCTAAGTGCAAAACCTTGGTTTTGAAAATGAGTTTTATTTGCAAGAAAATAAAAAAACCATTTCATATCAATGATTTCCCACTTAGCTTCGCTCTGAAACATAGGGACTGGCTTAATTTAAGGCAATTTGGCCTATTGAGCAATAGCTGCCCGTCGCGTCCCCAGAAACGATCCCAAAAACAATAGTCCAGTTTCGAGTTCGCTATGACCGCTGAATTAAAGAAGTGAAGACGCATTTTTTACAGGCTTAGCCTCCATCTGAAGTAATATATTCACAAATTCCAACGAGAAAAAGACCTGTTTATTACTCTGTCTATTGTGTATATTCAAATTTTAAACACTTACCTGTCGGAATTTCTGAATATTTTACCCAGTTACGTAGAGGCTAACCTTGTATAAATGTGCCGTTAATGTTTGTATTCAGCGGTAATTTTTAATTCGAAACTGGACTATTGCTAGATGAATTTCGGCTTCAGCCCCCTTCTCGTCAGTCTTAAGTGACGAATTGACAAAATATCTTTTTGTTTGATACTCAGTTGATTTAGTAAAACGCCTGAAATTAAGACCACCAGAAAATATTAGTGTATTGCAAGGTCAAGAGGCAAGGATCAAATGTGACCTAGATGGTTCTTTAACGGCTAAGTTAGAATGGAAGAAGCAAACCATTTCGGGAGATGTACCTGTTCCCGAGAGAATGGTTACTGTTGTTAAAGACAGCTCCAACAATCGAGCAAGAGCCATACTCAAGATTAAATTCGCTCAAATGGAAGACAGTGGCGTTTACAAGTGCGTATCATCGGCTTCTGGCAAGACCCATTTTAAGCTGGCCTATGTAACAGTGAGAGGTATTCTCCTTTTTCTTGGTTGTCGTACATTTATTTACTAGCCTGCGCGTGTACGATTTGATTGGGGAAAAAATTCCGGTCTTTTTTACGGTTATCATAGTGGTCGAGTGAATTTCTATAGAGGAGCTACTCTGGTAGGGAAAAGCCCTTAACTGATTCATTTAGCTAACAAATCTGTCCTCTGGGTATCTGGTAACTGACCGCTAAAAGGAGAGTGGCCGCATTTTAAAAGAGGAGCCTACCCGCTTAAAAGTTGCTTTTTGTGCAATATAACCTTGGCGTGTTATCAAATTGTTTCCTGAGAAAAAAAAAGGTTAAGAAAGTTTCTAAAGTTGAATAGGTAGGCACTGTATTTAAGTTCAAGAAGGAGAAAAAAATATACCGTCGAGTTTCCAAGTCCTAGCTAAGTCCTCTACAAAACATGGCATTAAGAGGAAAATTTCATGTCAAAGACCTTGCGCTCTCAGTATATGAATGTTACTTAACGAGGCACGGGAGTACGGGAAAATTTGAAATGGGAACCAAACATAGAATGCGTAATGAAGTTCCTCAGATAGGGCTAGGGTTTAAATTTAATTTTATTCTCAATTATATTTTCCCATTCCTCGTTCCCCTTTCCTCGTTTTAGTAACACCCTTGGCTCTGTGGCGGCAAAGAAATATTTCATACAATGCAGTGCGCGTACAGAGTTGTTATTGTGTGCTGAATAAGCCTGTCACCCTCTAGACGTTTGATTGCCGATTGAGGTCGTCGTCGTTGTCGCCCATAGCCTAACGTCCTAAAAGAACCAATTAACCCAGACCTAGCTCTCCCGTTTTCATGAATCAAAAGGCCACTTCCGAGTTCCGCGGGGCCTCTGTATCAAAACGAGGTTAAGTGCTCAACCTTTGATACGGAAACGATTTTCATTCTCATGCAAATAGAACTCATTTCCACAAGAAAGGTTGTACACTTGGCCTCATTTTGAAAGTGAGGGTTTTTGGAATTCAGAAGTGGCCTATTGATTTTGGTCACATGAAGTACTTTTTCCTGGTGAAAAAGAAACGTTCGCTCGGTATATGTACGCATCCGAATGATTTAAGTAAAATAAAAGGAAAGGAGTTTGTCGTTGAAACTAAAAGCTGCCATTTTAAGGTCTGCGCCTTCTGGTGTCGACTCAGTCTACTTTGCGGATTTTGATGGTCTAAATTCGCGTCACGCAAATGTGACGCAAATAAATGGAAAAAGTTCGCCTGGAGTTGGGAGTTCCCTGATCCAGTTCTAGCTAGCTATATGAATCACGCTACTGACACCAGGATAATATCCAGCCGCGTGAGTCTATCATTGCCTGGGCTCCTGGCATAGTGCGCATGAAGTGCCTTGGACTACTGACAAAAACTTTAAGGATTTATTCTATATGCTATAAGAAATTGCCCCCCTTCCTAATTCCTTTGTACTTATCGAGTATGTCCCATGCATATCAGATGTATTAATTGCTTTAACGCCACCTGCCAGAACGAAACGGAACGTTGATTAATATCTATTGTATGGTTCTTTCTTTCTAAACAGAGTCACTTGCATTCCTCAATAAACCGCCGCGAGTAATTCGAGGACGCATTGGCCAGAGCGTGGTGATTAACTGTTCTACAAATGACGTTGATGCTAAAGTGTCTCTTCTGCGTAAACCCCATCCATTTGCACCAAGCACAGAGCTTAAACCCAAAGCCAATAAACTCACTAAGGAGCGACAAGTGTTTACGATTCAAAACATTGACATCGGGGATGCCGGAATATATTCTTGTGGGGCGACCAGTGGAAAAAATCAAACCATCAAATGGCCTCGTTTAAGAGGATATTTTGTTTTTCTTCAATAGCTTAACTGACAGATTTTTAACTTTCAAACTTAGGGCTGGTTTCTTGCTGTTGTTTGTTACATAAATGATTAGATCACACCTTTGAGAACCGCTAAAATTGGGCCTGATCTCAGGTTAATAATTGACTAGTTTACATTCAGTTTTTAAATCATTATATTCAGGTGCTAAAAAGAATTTGGCTGAAAATGCATGAAAATTCAATAGCCCATTTTCGAGTTCCCTACGACCGCTGAATTAAAGAAGTGAAGACGCATTTTTACAGCTTTAGCCTCCATCTGAAGTAATATATTCACAAATTCTAATGAGAAAAAGACCTGTTTATTACTCTGTCATTACACTTTATTACACTTACTTGCCAGAATTTCTGAATATTTTACTTTACGTCCAGGCTAACCCTGTATAAATGTGTCGTGATTTTTAATTCGAAACTGGACTATTAAACGCAAGCTGCTGCGTGAGAGGGGCGCTCTCAACCACTGAGTGAAAAGTCTTGCTCTCTGCCTATTCATGCAGCCTGTTCTTAAAAAATAATAACAATAAGTATAATAATAAATGCAATAGTAATTATTATTATATATGGTCATAAGTTAAAATCTTTATTACAAAACCTCAATTAAAATCCTATTTACAATCAACCTGCTGTTATATATGGTCATTATTGTCATCATCATCATCATCATTATTATTAATATATAGATTTAGCCAGGGCTAAAAGCGAGGCTCCCATTAGTAAATTTATAATTTAAATTAAACAATAAACTTGTATTCGAATTCCACAATTCAGTTAACTTTAGAGCACATTTATGTGACTTTTGAGGGAAAGGCTACCTGATTTTAGAGAAAAATAATTTGCAAACAGCCCAAGAGTGAACCAAATCTTACATCGAGTTGATAGCCTCATATGTACACTCAAAAACTGGTAATCATCTTTTATCACATTTAAAAGCCGTAATGGCTATTGATCACCGTAGATCAATTAGGCTTATAAAAAAATCAGGCCAACGTTTTGGCGTTCGACAAGTTTACTTTGCAAAATCTTGCCAACAAATCTGGGTGCGTGTAAACCAACCTTTTATACCATGGACAGAAAGCAGTATTTCACAATACAAATTGCTCTCATTCAATATTCATAAACTGTTAAAAAAATTTTCCAAAATCACCTATACGGCCATCCGGTTCTCACTTTTGTAGTGCGAGCTGTAGCGAGTGTTTGAATGAACATTAACAGAGTTACGCTCCAAGATAATAAAGAATTTATCATGTTTATTTTTTATTTGATGGTTTAACGCGCGGCATTTTGAGAACTCCTGCAAGCGATGTTCACTGAACGACTGAAAACAATCGGCAT